AATAACAAAACCAAAACACACTAACTTAGCCCCACTCTCTAAACTCACTGAAAACAAAACCAGAAAATAAAGAATTCTTCAGCACTTAACACGCCATAACTAAAACTTCACTAACTACCCAAACAAAAATTACACAGTTGCACACACTCCTTCCCTAGTGTGTCTAACAAGTATAACCCTACGTGCATGTAAGATGTAGGTCACGTGACGTACTTGGTCAGGGTATATTCTGGCAAACCGTTTGCCAATCACGTCTAGCAATCGGCAAAGCAAGCTGTGCTACACGCCATTTACCAACAAGCGATGGGTAATTCGCAAAGCACAATGTTATTTTCTGTTTTCCCAGCACGATACTATAGAACGGCATAAAGTAAGAGGTTTGAGAAGTAAGAGGCGGGGCACCAGTTAAAACATTTCAAAGTTAAAGTTCAGGCAAACAGGTATTTATATTCAAGTTTTAGTCAAATATTGATTATTTATAGCTGAATTAAGTAGAACACAATTATATTTGGAACAATATAGCATATGAATCCAATAAAGAATCCAACAGTAGGCCTAAGATATTGGCATGAGCATGACAACCCCATTCTTATGTAATATCTTAATAAAATATAGAATTTCTAATATCTTTAAGTTCACACCTCCATTGTGTAATATAATTGTAAAGTCCATTAACAGATTTTAGCAGTGGTTCTCAAACTGGTGACTATACCCCCTGTAAGGCTGCCATATGGTACAGGGTGAGCCACACCAAGACATTTTATTAACTATAGAATTTTTCATAAATTCAGTGTAGCCTAATCATCAGAGAAATAAGACTTCCAACCAACATAATTTATTGAATCATTGCATAACGTATTCTATTGTAGACTATGATTTCATATGTATGTTTTTTTAAGTTTCAAATTGTTTTGTGTTATTAATTTTCTGTGGGAAAAAATCATCTACAGCTTGATCGTTTAATACGAGGCTATATGCACGGATCATCTTAAACGTCACCCGAATCGCCTGCTTCTAATTAATAATGCACCACCAACCACCCGCAACATAATTGTCTCTGATTTATAGATATCCGCACCCGATCAATACATTACATTTATTCTAAGGCCGGTTTCATACCGCACGCCTGAGTGGTGCGTCGGAAGAGCGTTTGCTGCGCTGTGAAACACCGGCTGCACCGCGCACAGTAGCCTACAACAGTCGCATTAGCAAGTTCTTTATTACTTTATTTTACATACATTTATAAACAACTTTTTGACTGTCAATATAGTTTTAATAACTGTGATTTGTTTAATCCACATTGTGTTCGTGCTTTTCTGGTCCATGTAGCCTACCAGACATAACAAAAATCACATTTTTTATAACTTTTTTGTCTTTTCCTCACTCAGAGTTGCTCTCAGATCCGTAGAAGCTTCCTATGTAGAAGTTTTAAGATAAATTAGGAGCTTTCTGAGAGTATATTCTGCTTTGAGAATACGATATATTTAATACGATATATATATATTTTTTTGCAGTCTATGATTATAAACCAATAAAATCGGTTGTGTATAATTGATACTAATTCTATGGGGTGCCGTTTGTAAAGTGGCTCACGCTGAAAATAACAGCAACATTTTGTCACATTTAGCTTCAAACTATGTTTAAAAAACTGGTATTAATTTTTGAAGGTCACTTTTTAGCACATTTACAACAATATTTGTCAACTTAGAGATATTTTAAATAGTTAAATCTAAATATTAAATGTTACACCTAAATGTTAAATCTAAATGTTAAATCTAAATGTGAAATCTAATAATGTAAATGTTAAATCTAATGTAAATGTTAAATCTAATGTAAATGTTAAATCTAAATCTAAATGTTAAATCGAAATATTAAATCTAAATGTTAAATCTAAATCTAAATGTTAAATCTAAAATGTTAAATCTAAATCTAAATGTTAAATCTAAATGTTTCGGGTGAAACTAAATATTTAACTAATATGCAAATTCAAAATGCCGGTAACAGGAAGTGCCAAAATAAAAGCTCGACGAGGTCAGTGCGTGTTGTTTATAGTGTCAAATAACGAATAAAAACCATCTCATCCGGGAAAATGGACTCTTGGACATGGATTGTCGTGATACTAACTAGCCTACCTAAAATAACAAACACGTTTGTTATTATTATACACGTTTTATTAGCGAACATGACAGATCAGTCAAAGTGAGCCCCCTCGTGGCTGGCGATTATGGCTACAGGTCATAAGTCCCGCACCTTTCATAAAAGTGACACTAAAAGTTCAAAGTAGCCTACTCTTTAAATACAGTTTCTCCAAACGTGTTTATTATTTTAGGTAGTTATTATCACGATAATCCATGTCCAAGAGTCCATTTACCCGGATGAGATGTTCTTTATTCGTTATTTGACACTATAAACACACACTGACCTCCTCGAGCTTTTATTTTGCCACTTCCTGTTACCGGCATTTTGAATTTGCATATTAGTTAAATATTTAGTTTCACCCGAACCATTTAGATTTTTTATTTATTTTTATTTATTTATTTTTTACCTTTATTTAACCAGGTTAATCGGTTGAGAACAGGTTAACATTTAGATTTAACATTTAGATTTAGATTTAATATTTAGATTTAACATTTAGATTTAGCATTTAGATTTAACATTTAGATGTAACATTTAATATTTAGATTTAAAATTTATTTAAATTATCTCTAAGTTGACAAATATTGTTATAAATGTGCTAAAAAGTGACCGTCAAAAATTCATACCAGTTTTTTAAACATAGTTTGAAGCTAAATGTGACAAAATGTTGCTGTTATTTTCAGCATGAGCCACTTTACAAATGGCGCCCCATAGAATTCAGCTATAAACAATAAATATGACTAAAACTTGAATATTAATAGCCTACCTGTTTGCCTGAACTTTAACTTTGAAATGTTTTAACTGGTGCCCCGCCTCTTACTTCTCAACCCTCTTACTTTATGCCGTTCTATAGTATCGTGCTGGGAAAACAGAAAATAACATTGTGCTTTGCGAATTACCCATCGCTTGTTGGTAAATGGCGTGTAGCACAGCTTGCTTTGCCGATTGCTAGAAGTGATTGGCAAACGGTTTGCCAGAATATACCCTGACCGTACTTTCCTTTCCTCTGCTCTCCGGGCTAGTGCAGACAAAAAGTCCTCTAGTAAGAAAACACAATCAAATAAGGACGCAAGCGAACCACCACAAAGTCAGTATTTCTCAACAACAGTAGCATGAGCCAACAAACACTCCAAAAACTCCTCCTCTTCCGATCTTCAGAGTGCCTTAAATCCTGAACCACAGCCGATGATTGGTGGTCTCCGACCAATAGCAGCACCTACAAACTCAAGGATAGCAGAGAGCGGGAAAACAGAAAGAAACCAACAGCAGAAAGGGAGAAATGCAGCAACCAATAAAGTAAAGGGGAGGGACAAAAATGCTAGCACGTAACAGATGTCATTTAAAGCAACAGTACATTATTTATAGATAAAACAAGTTAGTGTGACGGGGTGGTAAGTCAAACTGAGGGACGCACACAAATAACAAAATATTTACAAAAAAATAAGGTTTATTTTGAATAAAATATATCTTATGTGAAAAGGGACACATATAATCCTGAAAATAATAAATGTTTAAACATAACTTATTTGATGATATTTTAGATGCAAATGTCATGTTGGTCGTGTCATGTGTTTGAAATGGCGGACGAGAGTGTTAACTACTCAATAGGAAAATTAGTAACTTTTAACGTGAGCAAAACGGAGGAATAAAGGCTTAAAAAGAGATATACTCGACATGTGAGTGCGGGATGAGACATAATTAACCGAATAGATGTGTACGGACATTGATTAAGATGTGTGTAGTGACGAGTCTGGGCAGTTTGAGTTAACAAGGCACACGTGACTGTTGTTAGTCCTCGCATATACATGTTACCCTCGTTTAGCGTTGCTTTGTCAGTTATTACATGTAAAAAAAACTAAGTCAATATTGTTAAATAAGAACCCCAGTTGGATTTAGAGGTAAAATAGTTTATTAATCATTTTGTGAGTTTATAGTGATAACACAAGTGAAAGTGATATGAAAGAGTATTAAAAATATATGTGCAGTTATCAATGCTAGAGTAATGTGAATATAGACTAAACTATTGCTGATATCTGTATCTATTCTAATTCCAAATGCTATTTACATGTTTATGCTTATTGAGTTTGTGGTACTTTAATGATGTTATTTGTCAGACCTTTCCTTTTATGTCATCTGATAGTGGGCACAGCACATGTTTAGATCTATGTTAATGTGTTTGTGTATAGAACATGTATTTCTTGCGAATTGAGTATTGTATAAAGAGTAATGCGTCTAGTGTGACGTATCAGCTTAGACATCAGACATGTGATTGTTGAGGATAATTTGTGAAGGTATCACAGGATAAGAGCGTAGAAGTAGTATTCAGCACGAGATGAAGCGCGAAAGTGCAGAGAAATGTGCTCCTTGTTTGAACAATGTTTTTCATGTGTTTTATACAGATAAATAAATCTGTTGCACCAGGAAGTGACATCGCCTCATTCCTAAAAGTGTAACACGAACTTTAATATATAAAAATAAAATAAAAATCATTTTTAAAAAAACATGGTCACCAATCAAGAACCCATCATTCTGACAGTAATTGTGTAAGAATGTTAAAGTTTCTGTGACTCAAATGGAAAGCATCACATCCAGACCTAACAGATAATCTGCTGTTATCAGTTTAAAAATGAACCAAACTCATGTTGCTCTAGTGATTCTGATTTAAATTGTTGTGATGGGACCTTAATTATAGAGACACCAAAGGAATATACATTGCAAAGGTCGTTTTTTTCTCTCTCTCTCTCTCTCTCAATTTGTATTATAATCACTGCATTTATGGTTTTAGAACATTGTTAAGAGTTTCTGTCATAATGTGCATCAGTGTGATTAGTAAATTGGCCTAATTTTTTTTTGCTTTTAACCTTTTTAACTTCAGCGTCTCATTCATGTCTTTCTACACAGGGATGAGAGAGTAGGCCTTCTGATGTGAAGTGTGAGATTTCTCTTTCTAGATGCTCGTTGAAGTGTCCAGAGAAACTCTCTCGCTGACAGAGAAGAACTCAGTCATATAAAGATGTGTCCTCTAGTGGTGAAGCATGAAGTGCAATTATTACAGTGTAGAGGCTTTACAAGAACAAGAAGTTTTACAAGAACAAGCACCACTCACATGTTCTACACATTTTAGTCCAGTTTAGTAAGGGATATAAGATTATATGTTTACTTAGTACATCATAATAAATGAATAAAGTGTGTGTAAGGTTTGATATTGTGTAGTTTGTGATCCTCCATCAGCAGCTGCAGTTTCTCTCAGCTGTATCAGTGCAGTCACTGTGACGTCTGACTGACAGAGGTTTTTGTACGACTCTTTATCACTGTGTGAACACATGCTGACTGTTTGGATAGTGATAACTCTGACAGTAATAATCTCCTGTATCTTCAGTCTGGACTCCACTGATGGTCAGAGTAAAATCACTGCCAGATCCACTGCCACTGAATCTAGAGTGAGTTCCAGTATAAAGGCTTGTTGCATAATATATGAGGAGTTTAGGAGCTTCTCCAGGTTTCTGTGAGTACCAGGCCATACAAATGTCAGCATGCACATTACTGCTGGTTTTACAGTTTATTCTGACTTCTTCTCCTGGTTGAACTGCTGATATTGATGGACTCTGAGTTACAGTGATCTGTCCTCTACACTCTGAAAGAAACACAAACAAAAATGAAAATTATTGATACACAGTAAATTATAAATACATACATTTAACATTTTAAGAGAACTAATTATTGTTGTAAAAACGGTATTTCACAAACCTTGAATAAACAGTGCAATGGTCCAGATGAAGATGATGATGTTGTTCATAGTTGTAGTTTAGTCTTGTGTGATGATGAAGAGTGTGTTGTGTTCTGCTCTCAGTCATAAAGTGTTAAACTCACAGCACTATAAACACTCTCAGAGCACTGAAGCATGTGCTGACAATGCAAAGAAGTGGGCAGGATTTACAACAGCTTGTGCTGAGAACAAACTCATATACACTAGAGTTACACAATCATGACTTTATTTAGTATGTTTATTGTGACTCCTGAGACACTGAGGATGTGCAGATGAACGTCCATCTCTGTGTCCATATTCAGTCATGTGACCATCATCACTGCTACACTTCCACTAGATGAAGCGCCATCACTAAAGTAAGATCATGAATCATGAGTGTGTTCAGAAAGTATCAGGACTGATTGTGAATCTCTAATCAGAGTTCATGGTGTCACTCCATCTATCATGAAGCCTCATGTGTGTCTGAAATCATCAGATGGAGAAGAAACAGGCTGTTAAAGATGGACACATATTAGAGCTTGTTCACGTTTCATGATCTTGTGTGGAGATTCAGAACCAGTCCAGATACTTTTATAACACACCTTGAATATGAAAACATGCTGGACTGTGTAGAACATGCAAAACACCTTTTATATCTTCATTGTCACACTTTCTATTGACTTTGGCTCTAATATTCAATAAAGTCATTATTTGAACAGATTCTCACTGAAGATTGAAGTGTGAAGCTGCAGGTTTTTCTGTGAATCATGATGATTGATCTGCATATGAAGAACAGAACCATCATTATGAGAAACTCCACAACATCATCCATGATCAAAGAGGTCAAAGGTCACCTCAGAGGTCACAGCTCATCACATATATTTCTTTAAACAGTGTTATATCAGAAAGCATTTAGTCAAATCTGAATGAGTGAGTGTTGAGAAGAGCTGAGGATCTTCTAATATCAGTGTGTTGAAGTGTTGTTTCTCTCTCTCTGCTGGAGTGTGTGTTCACTCGAGTGGAATAGAGGTTTTTGTACGAGCGTTTCATTAGATTGTATCACTGTGGAGGACATTCGGTGGAGGAACTAAACTGGTGATCGGTAAGTCTGTCGATTTAATCACCTAATAAAAAATACAATTTAGATTTCAGAAAGTGTTTTACAGTTGAAACAAGAACAACATTTATTAATAATAATGATTATTAGATATTGGGACGACACTTTACTTAAAGCCTTTATATATAATGCATTATAAAGGTTTCAATAATGTAGATTATAATGCCTTATATCTTTTCATAAATAATTCTAACAAAAGTTAATATGCATTAAAATATTTGCAAATTCCTTGTTACATCTTAAGCGGTTGTTTATCATGTGTTTTAGTGTATTATAATTTTTGGAAGGTGTAGCAATGAATAGATAATATTATAATGTGTTATAACTGTGGTTATAATTATTGATAAGATCATACATGAATTATAATGTGTAAAACAATATATAATTAATGCATTAAAATACCTTTATAATGCAAAATGTATAAAGGCTTTCATTAAAGTGTTACTAGTATTTTTGTATAATTTAATCTAAAACCATGATATTATAAGAATAGCATTATTCCTTTCAACAAATGTAAAAAAAAAAAAACGAGATAAAATTCTTAACATATGTCCATAATGTGTCTCTGAATTTATAAACATAGTCACGTTCACACTTAGGAAAAGGAGAACTCAAGTGCAAAACAAGGAAGGTTTATTTACACTACAGAACAAACACAAATCAAAAACCCACGAGGGGGAAAACATAATAAATGAACATGAAACAAACACTGGGTCAAGAATACAGGGAACACCAACCAGGAACAGAGAAACATCTGACAATGACAACGAACCGACCAAGACTGCAAACATGAGACTTATAAAGGGAACAAATCAAGAGGGAACAGGTGGAGAAACTCAAACACTAATCAGGTAACGAGCGGGAGGGATCAAACAATGACAGAGGCACATGGCCCAACATAACAACCACCCATGTGCAACACAAGACAGGACAGACATGTGACATAACCCCCTCCCTACGGAGCGGCTACCAGACGCTCCATGAGGCTAGGGCGGGGCAGGAAGGAAACATCAGGCGGAACGGGAGGGGACAGACCAGGGCGGGACAGGGGGGACAGACCAGGGCGGGACAGGGGGGACAGACCAGGGCGGAACGGGACATCGACCGGCCAGGGCGAGACAGAGTTCATCAGGCGGCCAGGGCGGCGAAGAACCCTCGAGTGGCCAGGGCGGCGAAGAACCCTCGGGCGGCCATGGCGGTGAAGAACCCTCGGGCGGCCTGGGCGGATCAGACCTTTCAGGTGGCCAGGGCGGTGAAGACCTTTCAGGTGGCCAGGGCGGATCAGACCTTTCAGGTGGCCAGGGCGGTGAAGACCTTTCAGGTGGCCAGGGCGGTGAAGACCTTTCAGGTGGCCAGGGCGGATCAGACCTTTTAGGTGGCCAGGGTGGTGAAGACCCTTCGGGTGGCCAGGGCGGTGAAGACCCTTCGGGTGGCCAGGGCGGTGAAGACCCTTCGGGTGGCCAGGGCGGAGCAGACCCCTCGGGCGGCCAGGGCGGATCAGGCCTTTCAGGTGGCCAGGGCGGTGAAGACCCTTCGGGTGGCCAGGGCGGTGCAGACCCCTCGGGCGGCCAGGGCGGTGCAGACCTCGGTTCAGGCTCTGGGACAGGCACAGGCTCAGGCTCTGGGACCGACACCGGCTCCGGGTCAAGGACAGGCTCCGGGACAGGGACAGGGACAGACACTGGCTCAGGGACAGACATTAACACAGACACAGTCATAAGAACAGAAACAAATACAGAAACAAACATAGATTCCGGCTCAGGGACAGACTCCGGCTCAGGGGCAAACACAATCTCCGGGATCGACACAGGCTCAGGGACAGGGACAGACACTGTTTCTGTTTTAGTATCTGTCCCTGAGCCAGTCAACATAACAGAAACAAATACAGACACAAACATATCTTCCAGCTCAGGGCCGGACACAGGCTCTGAGACAGGCACCGGCTCAGGGACAGTCTCTCGCTGGGCAGACGGGACGTGAGCGGTCTCTCGCTGGGCAGACGGGACGTGAGCGGTCTCTCGCTGGGCAGACGGGACGTGAGCGGTCTCTCGCTGGGCAGACGGGACGTGAGCGGTCTCTCGCTGGGCAGACGGGACGTGAGCGGTCTCTCGCTGGGCAGACGGGACGTGAGCGGTCTCTCGCTGGGCAGACGGGACGTGAGCGGTCTCTCGCTGGGCAGACGGGACGTGAGCAGTCTCTCGCTGGGCAGACGGGACGTGAGCGGTCTCTCGCTGGGCAGACGGGACGTGAGCGGTCTCTCGCTGGGCAGACGGGACGTGAGCGGTCTCTCGCTGGGCAGACGGGACGTGAGCGGTCTCTCGCTGGGCAGACGGGACGTGAGCGGTCTCTCGCTGGGCAGACGGGACGTGAGCGGTCTCTCGCTGGGCAGACGGGACGTGAGCGGTCTCTCGATGGGCAGACGGGACGTGAGCGGTCTCTCGATGGGCAGACGGGACGTGAGCGGTCTCTCGATGGGCAGACGGGACGTGAGCGGTATCTCGCTGGGCAGACGGGACGTGAGCGGTCTCTCGCTGGGCAGACGGGACGTGAGCGGTCTCTCGCTGGGCAGACGGGACGTGAGCGGTCTCTCGCTGGGCAGACGGGACGTGAGCGGTCTCTCGCTGGGCAGACGGGACGTGAGCGGTCTCTCGCTGGGCAGACGGGACGTGAGCGGTCTCTCGCTGGGCAGACGGGACGTGAGCGGTCTCTCGCTGGGCAGACGGGACGTGAGCGGTCTCTCGCTGGGCAGACGGGACGTGAGCGGTCTCTCGCTGGGCAGACGGGACGTGAGCGGTCTCTCGCTGGGCAGACGGGACGTGAGCGGTCTCTCGCTGGGCAGACGGGACGTGAGCGGTCTCTCGCTGGGCAGACGGGACGTGAGCGGTCTCTCGCTGGGCAGACGGGACGTGAGCGGTCTCTCGCTGGGCAGACGGGACGTGAGCGGTCTCTCGCTGGGCAGACGGGACGTGAGCGGTCTCTCGCTGGGCAGATGGATTTCCTCTCCTCCGTCCATGACGGTGAGAAGCCGGCTCTGAACTGCCCTCCACTGGTACAGGATCGTAAGGAGGCCAGGATGGAGAGTGATGTTGACCCTCCTCTCGACCACCTCCTCCTCCTTTACAACCTCCCCGGGTCCCACGAAAAATTACCTGGCGGGTCCCCCGAAAATCTCTCCTGTGACCTCCACGGGTCTCAGAAACCCTGGCCAAGCGCTCCGACTCCTCCCTTTGATGAGCCATCAAAGCGAACGCTTGGAAGATGTTCATTCCTCCGGATTCCTTACCGGGCCGAGTCCTTCGGTCCCCGCCGATAGGACGGAACTGGGTTGCTCCAAATGTGGAGATGACGTAGTCCGGGCAATTCAGATCATCGTCGTCCATATACATGTCATTCATGCTTCAGGAACAGAGAAACAATAAATAAATAAATAAAATCCTTCTTGCTGCTGAGTTCAAAAATGGTCGGTTCGTTCTGTCACGTTCACACTTAGGAAAAGGAGAACTCAAGTGCAAAACAAGGAAGGTTTATTTACACTACAGAACAAACACAAATCAAAAACCCACGAGGGGGAAAACATAATAAATGAACATGAAACAAACACTGGGTCAAGAATACAGGGAACACCAACCAGGAACAGAGAAACATCTGACAATGACAACGAACCGACCAAGACTGCAAACATGAGACTTATAAAGGGAACAAATCAAGAGGGAACAGGTGGAGAAACTCAAACACTAATCAGGTAACGAGCGGGAGGGATCAAACAATGACAGAGGCACATGGCCCAACATAACAACCACCCATGTGCAACACAAGACAGGACAGACATGTGACACATATTTCCATAATGAGTTTAATCAGTTTATTACAGGTTTGTTTTTCCTTCATTTATTTCTACACTGAGTTCATATTTAGTTCATCTTTTATTGTAGAAATCATACATGTAAAAAGAGATTTGACATCAGAATGTAAATGTTGCTACTTTCTGTAGTTCAGTCAATGATACTGAATCTCTTTTGCTCATGTTGTGCTTATAATTCAGTGCTTTATAATATAAGCACGATTTATACAGAATATAGGTATGTTTACAAATGTTTATTTAGTGTTTTTATTCAGTTTGAAATTTAGTTTTAGAATATCCAAGTAAATGTAACTTTATTTTGGGATAAAATATTTTATAATTTTGATTTCTGAGGTTTGATATAAATGTATATAGTGATTGTGTAGTTTGTATATTGTATATATATATATATATATATATTGACTGTAGTGAAGCTGAATGGCATGAAGGATCAGATGCTGGAGATTTGTCCTGCATTCCTCATGTCTGCTGCTTCAGTCCTGTTGAAATGCTGTGAATGTGCAGTGCAGTGTGTTGTGTGTGTGTTTGTGAATGTGTTGTGTTTGTCTCCTGCAGCTGGTCCCACAGTGAAGCCCTCAGTGTCTCTGCTGCCGCCCTCTTCTCTGCAGATCTCTGGAGACTCAGCCGCACTGCTCTGCCTACTCAGCTCTTACTCTCCACAGGGGGCGCTGGTGAGCTGGACACTGGACGGGTCAGAGGTCACCGAGGGGGTTCTGACCAGCGCAGAGAGCCAGCAGGACGGCCGCTACAGCCGCAGTAGCGTCCTGACCCTCAGCAAAGCACGCTGGGAAGAGGGAGAGCTAGAGTTCTCAACGGGTCGGGTCGGCCCGACAAACCCGACGGGACCCGCGGGTTCGGGCCGGGTTCGGGTCGAAAATATTTGCAAATGACTCGGGTCGGGTCGGACCTCGGGCTTAATCTTTTGAATTGTACAGTGAAAGAAAAAAAACATTTATTATTCATCGCTGCTGTTCACTGTAAAGAAAGTCTGGCTGCTGCGTGCAACGTGCATCGCGACGCGAGGGCAGACCTGACGCCGCTGCGTGCACGCCTTTAGCCCGGAGAAGAAGATGGAGTTGGTGAAAAGTAAACTTGCTGCAGGTGAAATCACCGTTGCTCAGGGGCAGCGCGACACGTTGTGTGATTATCTCGGCAGTTTAGGACATCGCACAAGATTTGCGTCAATACAGAAAACATTTAATCACTGGATAGTTTTTTTCGTTTATTGAAATGTGGTTTATGTCAGCTGGATGGGCGGAATGTGTGAGACGTGAGAGTGCGCGCGCGCGCGCGCGGCCGGGGCTCTCTCTCTCTCTCTCTGCGTCAAGCGCAGCAGTCATAGAATACATTATATTCTACATACATCACTCACCGATCAAAAGGGTGGCGTCGGGCCGCGGGTCGGGTTCGGGCAGATAATTCATGTTGATGTGTCGGGTTACATCGGGTCCGGGCTTTAAAAGCCACGGGCCGGGTCGGGTCGGGTTGTAATTTTCAGGCCCGTTGAGAACTCTAGGGAGAGCTGTACGTCTGCAGAGTAACACATGATGGAGCTCCTCATGAGGTCTCGTTCCACAAGAGCTCTGAGTGCTGATGTTTCTCTCCTGAAGATGAGCCGTATCTGAGTGTCCTGTGTCAGGCAGGATTCACATGAGTCTAGTGCTGCAGCTGTAGTGCTTTACAACTCCATACTGAAAGAGTGTGTGTGTGTGTGTGTGTGTGTGTGTGTGATCTGTCAATCTGCTGTGTTTCCTGCAACATTCAATAAAGCTTCTCAACAAGTTCACTTTGTGTCTGACAACATCATTCAACTAACAGATGAAGATGCAGGAGCTTTTCAGAAGGTTGATGTCGCAGTAAATGTCAAATAAAGCTCTTGGGGTTTGAACATGGTCTCTGGAGACAGAGCTGCTCTATTCTGAGAGATCACAATCACTCCACCCTGACAATGCAAATGGGCTTTTCAGTCTCACTCTCTGATTGGTTACATGATCTGGACTGGAACACAACAGTTTCACTTCTGCAAAAGAAGGTGCTGGTATTTAAAATTATAAAAATATAATCAAAATAATTTAAGTGACTGAATGCAGTGTGTTCAGTTTGATTGACAGGGATCATATATTACACCTAAAACATGATGATCATATTAAAACACTGACTCATTCTCTTCATAAACACAAGATTGATGTAGATTGTAATGATATAGTGTTATTAGTGTTAGAAAATACAATCATAAATCATTCTTCAAACCTGGACTAAACACTGCCAGAGTCGAGAGGAAGATGATGCTGAAAGTCATGTTTGTTGGTTGATGAAGAGGAGCTCTTGATCATGTCATGTTCAGTTCATAGAGCTATAAACACATGCAGAGTGAAGCATGTGCTGATCATATAAAACACCCTCTGAATGCAAAAGCTGCTGTAGACTGTGAGCTCACGACGACACCGAAGAGAGATCAGGACGAGATACAGACTCACCTCAGACTCATCAGAGTCAAACAGCTTTACTGACAGGGTTAAAGAACGGCTTTACATGGCCGAAGCACAGCCACATTAAATATACTCACATACACACTTACACACAAATACACACAGCTTAAAATATATATATGGAGTTCAGTCATGAAACTCTAGATCAGTGTTTCCCCAACAGTAGCTGCGTTTACACGGACACTTATAATCGGATTGACGGCTCAATCGGACTAAAAAACCTTCATGTAAACACCTTAATCGATCCGATTGAAATTTCGATCGGATTGAAAGGGGTGGTTTACTCTTTTTGTAATCCGATCGAGAGAACATGTAAACACTTGATCGGATTGAAAACCGAAACTGAAAGGACTGCGCATGTGAAATGACGTTAAATAAACGTAATGACGTATGACGCGCGGAACGAGCTGTTTTTCCTGTTGAATAAAGTGTCATATTAATAAGTTTCCCGTCATTTAAAAATTCTCATTTCACTCACGCGTCTGTTAGGTGAAGCAGGACAACATCCCACCAGTCCTTGTTTTGGATTCTCATCCACAGACGTCTGGTTTTGGCCGCGGGGAGGGGCATTTTTATTGCGTGATCAATATAAGCAGCACAGCAAAACGGTTAATATGCTTTAAATTATGACCAGAGACAAATTAATATTACGTCTGCTGTTTAAAACAAATAAAGAACCAATAGAGGAGAATATTTATGCGCGAACAGCGGGAAACTCTGTATATTCGTGCAGAGTGCGCATGTCAAAAAATCAGATCGGATTTGAAACTTGTGACATATAAACGCGCACATCAACCCGATTACTTTATTTATCATTCATGTAAATGTCACACAGGTCGAGGGGAGGAATGCTCGGATGACCAACCACCCCCCCCTCTCTTACTGAGTCACCACCGTGGGGAGCCGACACCACAGGCACACAGAGGACTACGGAGACACAGGTAAGCTTCAAAGGAGGAACAATCTTTATTGAACAATAAAACAAGGGGCATCAATTGGATAGCCTTCACTGTCCTCTAGATATCCTTCTGTCACGGGCGGGCGTGTCGCAACTGTCACGGTGTCCCCTGGGCGGCAATTTAGGGACTCCGTTCACCAGCGGTGCTGCAGACTTCCAGACTCAGATAGTGAGAATAACAGGTAAGGGTTATTCACAGTACACAGCTCTCCCTTCGGTTCACAGGGGGCGAGCCAGCGGATCACTAGACGGCTTCACCAGCGATGCTGCATGCTTCTGGACTCAAACAGTAAGTAGAACAGGTAAGGATATTCACAGTACCGAGAACTCTCATCGGCACACCGTAATGGAACAATGGTTTGAAAGCTTACTTTTTCCCAGCAGTGCTGCAGACTTCCGAACTCGGGCAGTAAGTATAGCAGGTAAGGATTCTTCGCAGTGTGCGGTACTCTTCGGTCCACAGGAGGAAGACAGTGAGTTAAAGGTTTACTTCGCCCATGATGCTGCGTCCTTCTGGACTCAAACGGTAAGTAGAACAGGTGAGGATCTTCACAGTACAAAATACTCTCTTCAATGTACAGCAGGAAGACAATGGATTAAACAGGGTACTTTACCAGTGATGCTGTATACCTCTGGACTCGGACAGTAAGTAGAACAGGTAAGGATCTTCACAGTACACAGTACTCTCTTCAGCTCGCAGTAAGGAGACAGTGAATTAAAAGGTTGCTTCCCAAATGATGCAGTGTGCTTCTGGACTCAACAGTAAGTAGAGCAGGTAAGGATCTTCGCAGTACAACGTACTCTCTTCGGTACACAGCAGGAAGACAATGAATTAAAATGGTACGTTACCAGTGATGCTGTAGGCTTCTGGGCTCAAACAGTAAGCAGAACGGGTAAAAATCTTCACAGTACAATGTACTCTCTTCAGTGCACAGTAAGGAGACAATGGATTAAAAAGGGCACGTTACCAGTGATGCTGCATGCGTCTGGACTCAACAGTAAGTGGAACAAGTGAGGATCTGCACAGTACTCTTCTTCAATTCACAGCAAGGAGACAGTGGGTTAAAAGATCGTTTCTCCAGTGATGCGGTAGGCTTCTGGGCTCAAACAGTAAATAGGACGGGTAAGAATCTTCACAGTACAGAGTACCCTCTTCAGTGCAGCTGTATCACACTGGACTTCCAATGGGGAGCAGATATAGTAACTTTCCACAAACGTGTAAATGGGGCTAGGGCCACTTCTCAGCAAAGGCACAGCACACTTGTGTTCACTTCAATTCCACAGCCACAAATCAATGTGTATCAATAAGGCAAAAGCACTGCAATTCACTCACACATTAAGGCTGGTCAGAGGCCCCACTCAGTTTGTTGCGCTCGCTCCACGAGGGATTTCTCTCTCAATTCCTCCTCAACACACTCTGAAACACATAGCTCTTCCGACAATCAGATCCACATTTACTGCATCCTCTTCCAGCAATTTAAACACTCATAAGATGAAATCAGTTCACTTATCTCTTCTCTCTCCTTCCACAGCACCAATCCAGACGATAGTTCAGTCCAGCAGACTTCCCACAAACGATCACTCTGATCCAGCAAACTCAAATGGGCGATCTCCACACCCCAACGGTTTTCCTGAGGAAGCTTGTATCCAACACTGCTCCAAGTCAACCCTTTAGGCTCTTCAACACTTCCAACTCACTGAGCACTTCAAACCCACTGAACACCGCAAACCCACTGAACAATGCAAACCCACTGAACAACGCAAACCCACTGAACAACGCCCCACACTCTCTGAATGGTCCCTTTTTATCGTGGCTTGCGTAACAGGAAGCCTGTGTGAGCGCCACTTCTCTCTCTCACACCTGCAATGCATTAGCGCTAATCAGTGCGGGCATGTTTACATCACCGGAGTGGGGCGTGTTGCACACAATACCTTCCCCTGGGAAACTTAGGACTCTCAAGGGGGGTTCCGCTTGCCGAGCGATTTTGTCACCCGTGACATCAACACATTGATCGGATTCATCAATCGTATTGACTTCATTCCGATTGTGTCCATGTAAACGTGACTACTGTCTCTCTAATCTGACACACATTTCAGGTGTTGGAGTCTCTCCTGATGAGCTGATGAGTTGATCATGTGTGTTTGATTAGAGAGACTTACAGAATATGCACAGTTGGCGTCTCCAGGACTGGCACAGGCTTTTACTGTCACGGTTCATTGATCCGTGAGTTCATTTTGGATTTCTGTTGGTGTGTTTGTAGCTGTGGCTCGGTGTGTGTTAACGCTTGTTGGTTGCCAGGTAACCAGCGTATTACTCAATCAGGCTTCAGCTGCAGCTAATCTTTACTGCTTGTTAGCTGCCTTTATCTAGCTGGAGTGTTTTATGTTTGGTGTCGGTTCGTCACTCTCGTTGTGTTCTCTCACCTAGTTCCTGTGTCCAGTTCTATTGGAGTATCCTCGGTCTCTTCAGTGCATCCAGTCTTCTGGGAGATCGCCTGGAGTTCTTTCATCAGCCTTCAGTCTGAGCCCTAGCAGCTTTGTCTCTGTCTTCTGACTCTCTTCGGGAGTGTTGCATTCAGGTCGCCCGCCTGCTTAAGTGGTGTTTAGAGTTGTGTCCTGTGCCGCTGATCCTGAATAAACTGTTTTACTTGCAATTGGATCTTGGAACTCTTTATTGTGACATTTACATGCAGTCTGTAAGCAATCACAGCTGATTGGATCTGCTGTTCCTGTAGCCAATGAGATTGCTTGCTCAACATTTAATTAGATTTAAATCTAATCTAAAAACTGATGTTAAATAGACACTGAATGCCCAGAGACCCATCTCTTCCTGATGCTCTCCACACTTGTTAAGCTCTCTTTGAGGCCTGTAACAGCACTCCTAGCATTAGCCTCACTACACCAGCTGGAGAGACACTCAGTGTAACCACAGAAGACGTGAGGAGGTCCTACAGAGAGTCAAGCCACGGAAAGCTGCAGGCCCAGATAACATCCCAGGCAGGGTCCTGAAAGACTGCACATCAGCTCTCAGAGGAACTGACTGACATGTTTAATATCTCACTCTCTAAAGCAGTCGTACCATCATGCTTCAAATCTGCTGCCATCATTCCTTAATTTGGGGGGACTTTTGTCACCTGGGATGCGTTGTCATCCGTAACGGCCCTTCACGGACGTTTGCCATCATGGATGGGATAGGCTTAGAGTGCGTCTCTGCTTTGTGCTGCTGTGCGCAGGCTGCCCCGGGTTATGAGGTTGGTACGTGTGTTTTAAGGATTAATATTCGTCAATGGAATATGTATTTATTATTCTGAAACTTTGTGTAGTTCGTCAATGAACAACTGACTGCATGTTATGGTCAGCGACCAGGCATAGTACCGCGCTGTGAACCTCTCCTGGTGGGTACGAGAGCCATTTGCGTGTTTTGTAATTGTTTTTTGTTTTAGTGTGACGATCTGTTCAGCTGGGCTGTCATTGGCTGTGACATTATCGCAGAACTCGCTGTCATTGGACTATCTTTTAACCCATATAAAACGGCGCTTCATGTTACAAAGTATGTTTTGGTGTTATTATTACGTTAGTTATACATTAAGTTCATTATAAAGTGTCTCTATGTTGTGAAAAATTCCCAACCCTAACCATTTCTGTACATTTCAATGAACTACAACATCACGTTTCCTGTTCCATTGATAGAATGACAGAGATATGTTGGTAATGTAGTTTAAAAAGTTTAGTAATGAAACAAATGTTAAATAAATAATATTGTTAATGGACAACTGGATATCTAAATATGTTAATTGTACAAACCTTTATGACATATATGAGGGACAGGCTGAAATGTGATATTTCTGTCAGGGGATGGGGTAGAGGAGAAGAGCCGAGGACTCAAGTACAGAGGAATAAGGGTTATTTATTAATAAAAATAAAGCAAAATACAAAAACTACCCCGAGGGGGAACGACACGACACGAGGGGTACATTCAACGTACATACGACGACGAAACAGCACAGGACTGAAAACACAAGGAGAATAAATAGGGGTTTTCTCCGTTTAACCTTGCCTCGCAAATCCCTCACGTTCCATGAACAAAATTTGACGTTGTTATTTGACATAATCAAGATTATAGATATAACATTATCATATAGCAATTAAACCTTGAACAATAATGCAATTTCGACAACCTGAGGATGCGTCATAAAAATAGAAAACACAACCAGATCAGTGCTAAGCATAACAACCAACCAAACCTCACTAAACATGAAAAAAGAAAACAGTAAAGGACAATAGTAAAAATAAGAGAAAAAAAAGAAAATAAAGAAAAATGTAGGATCGTAAAGTATAGTAGAAAACTATAACATAAAAGTTCTTTTGAGGGGAGACTCCCCCAGGTTTTATGGGGGCCACCTTCTTTAAACGCACCCTAAAAAGGTGCATAAATACTTACCAGAACTGTTACAAAACGTGGTAGGGACCAAAGCAAGCGCCCACGAGTAGATATGTGGTAAAATCTTAATGCAGATCCCTTTCTCAACCAATATTAATAATATTAACACATGCAAGAGGGTTATATACGAGCGTAAGTGAAGTCTTAAACACAACAGGGACTGACTTCCAGTCTTCATAAGTTTGTTATGTGAAAGCACACATTGTAAAGCTCACCGCGTCATATCAGATAAATGCTTCTCAATCCTGATTTGCAACACTGGACACAAAAGAGAAAACATCAGCCGGTGAGAGGAAAGTTTTCTTTATCCCGTTGAACGACACCTGTGGCTTCGCTGGGTAGAGCATGGAGTATTGTGCACCAATATCTCTGAGACGCTTTTTAGCCTCTGCGAACTCCTTTCGCCTCCGCAGCACTGCAGCAGAAAGGTCATTGTAGAAAGAAATCCTCTTGCCGCCCATAATAATGTCGCCCTCCGCCGCTTTTCGCCGTGCTGCTTCCATCACTCTCTGCTTATCTGGGAACGAGTGGAACCTGACAATGACCGGGCGCGGCCGCTGGCCATCCCCGGGTTTGGGTGCGAGGGAGCGGTGTGCACGCTCAAGCTTGACACGGCCTCCCTTCATATCCACGCCGAGGAAAGTTGGCAGCCAGTGTCCAAAAAGGCTACAGCATTTTCGCCCTCTGTGTTTTCAGGGATATTAAAGATACATACATTCTTTCGTCGTCCCCTGTTTTCCAAGTCGTCAATATGGTCTGCGAGGGCCTTGACTTTCTCCTCTAGGGCCTTTGTTTTAGCAGCGAGAGGCTCAGTAGCCGTTTCTAGCCCGGGCTCCAGTTCAGGCCCAGACGGATTGCTGTTGTCCTCGACGTCTTGTTCGCCATGTTGAGCTAAAACTGCAGCCGAGGTGTCCATAGCCTGCTGATCCAATTTGACGTTCTTTCGCGTACTGGAGGGCATTGTTTCGTGATGTTTAGTCCAAAAGTGTTCCAAAGTCATAATACAGCGTCAGCATTTGCAAAAAGAAGGAAATGTCTAACAGAATATTGCAAAATGTTTAGGCGCTTGCATCTGCAGTTTCTGCTTCTCTCCGCATCGCTCTCAAACTGGGATCTGAAACACCAACAATAAAACATTCCAGTGCTGCCATAATCAATACCAGCACTCACTCTTACTTCATATCACATAACAGTCTTTATAAAGTTTGCTAAACATTGATATTGTGTAGTTTGTGCTCCTCCATCAGCAGCTGCAGTTTCTCTCAGCTGTATCAGTGCAGTCACTGTGACGTCTGACTGACAGAGGTTTTTGTACGACTCTTTATCACTGTGTGAACACCCACTGACTGTTGATTACATGAAAACTCTGACAGTAATAATCTCCTGTATCTTCAGTCTGGACTCCACTGATGGTCAGAGTAAAATCACTGCCATAGTTAGATCCACTGCCACTGAATCTAGAGTGAGTTCCAGTATAACGGTGTCTTATGTCATGAATCAGGAGTTTAGGAGCTTCTCCAGGTTTCTGCTGATACCAGTGTAACTCATCATAGGTTAGTCCTACATCCATGCGACACTCTATTGTCGCTGTTTGACTCTGTTGGACAGTTTTAACTTCAGGTTGAGTCAGAGTCACTCCTCTGGATTCTGAAGTCAAGTCAAGTCAAGTCATCTTCATTTATATAGCGCTTTTAACAATGGAGATTGTTTCAAAGCAGCTTTACAGAGATAAACATACAATTTACGGTAACAGATTGTTTTGGCTTTATAGCGATTTTGAATAATGTTATTTCCAGCTAAAGTTGGTTTTGATTGATTCACTTTCAGTAAAATTATCATTTGTTATTACATTAGGGGCCACTAAGACGACGGCGTTCTCTCTAAACAGACTTTAAACGCGAACCTGTGACCTGATGGCGTTCACATGCGCATTCAAAATTGATTCTATAGTTATATTCGTTTGAATATGTGTGCGCAGGTTTGTAATTTCCCTACAAACCATGCCTAAACAAACTACTTGTCTTGCCTATAAATTTGATACAGAATTTTATTTTATCACTTCGGGGTACGCGAACCGGATTTTCAACAACGCTTTATCTGTAGAGTGGGAAAGGGATCCTCCATAGGGAGAGGATAGTTGACACTTCAGCACTGCATTGTCATCGGGTCCAGGCCAATCTCCTTCGTCAGATCTGGATACGGCCTGGATCCGGCAGGCTGCGGGAAAAACTCGGGATAAACAAAGACACTAATATTAGCGTAGATGCCATTCTTCTTATGATGTAACGAGTACATCTGGATTTAAGGGAAGTGTTCCCAGTTCCGGCTGACCTAATCTATGCAGCCTAACATTGAATTATAGAAGTCTATAATGTATTATGTGTATGCTAGGTCAAAGAGATGTGTTTTTAGTCTAGCTTTGAACTGACAGAGTGTGTCTGCTTCCCGGACAATGGTAGGAAGACTGTTCCAAAGTTTTGGTGCTAAATAGGAAAAGGATCTACCGCCAGCAGTCGATTTAGATATTCTAGGTATTATCAACTGTCCGGAACTTTGAGATCGCAATAGACGTGACGGACTATAATGCGTCAAGAGCTCGCTCAAGTACTGCGGAGCTAAACCATTTAGTGCTTTGTAAGTAATCAACAATATTTTAAAATTTATACGATGTTTTATAGGCAGCCAATGCAGTGTTGACAGAACCGGGCTAATATGGTCATATTTCCTGGTTCTGGTAAGAACTCGAGCTGCTGCGTTTTGAACTAGCTGTAGTTTATTTATTAAGCGTGCAGGGCAACCACCCAGTAGAGCATTACAATAATCTAGCCTTGAGGTCATGAACGCATGAACTAATTGTTCTGCATTTGTTAATGAGAGCATATGGCGTAATTTAGATATGTTTTTAAGATGGAAAAATGCGGTTTTACAGATACTAGACACGTGACTTTCAAATGAGAGATTGGTATCAAAGAGCACACCCAGGTTCCTAACCGACGACGAAGACTTAACAGAGCAGCCATCAAGTGTTAGACAGTATTCTAGGTTATTACGTGTGGAAGTTTTTTGTCCAATAATTAGAATCTCTGTTTTTTCAGAATTTAGTAGTAGGAAATTACTAGTCATCCAATTTTTTATATCGGCTATGCATTCCGTTAATTTTGTGAATTGGTAAGTTTCGTCGGGGCGTGAAGAAATATACAGCTGAGTATCATCGGCATAACAGTGAAAACTAATTCCATGTTCCCTAATGATATCTCCTAATGGTAGCATGTACAGAGTGAACAGCAACGGTCCTAGTACTGAGCCTTGTGGTACGCCATACTGAACTTGTGATCGATAAGACATATCTTCATTTATTGCTACAAACTGATAACGGTCAGATAAGTATGATTTAAACCATGCTAGTGCAACTCCACTAATGCCAACATAATTTTCGAGTCTATTTAAAAGAATGTTGTGGTCAATAGTATCAAATGCAGCACTAAGATCGAGTAACACTAATAGAGAGATACAACCACGATCGGATGATAAGAGCAAATCGTTTGTGACTCTGATGAGAGCTGTCTCGGTACTATGGTACGGTCTGAATCCTGACTGAAAATCCTCGCAGATATCATTTCTTTCTAGAAAGGAACACAGTTGTGAGGATACTGCTTTTTCTAATATCTTTGATAGAAAAGGTAGATTCGAGATCGGCCTGTAATTGACTAATTTTGTATGATCAAGTTGCGGTTTTTTAACAAGCGGTTTTATCATAGCCAGCTTAAAGGTTTTTGGTACGTATCCTAAAGACAAAGACGAATTAACGATAGTAAGAAGAGGATCTATGACCTCTGGAAGCATCTCTTTCAGTAGCTTAGTCGGTATAGGGTCTAAAATATGGCAACAAATGAATCAAATTTTTCCTCATGGAGACTACAATGCACTGTCTGATGCGATACTGTGGTAGACGGTTGCATAGTTATAATTTTGTCCCTGATATTATCGATCTTATAAGTGAAGAAGTTCATAAAGTCATTACTGCTGTGTTGCTTGGACACTTCTGGGGTTGAAGCTTTCTTTTTCGTTAGTTTAGCCACTGTTTCAAATAAATACCTAGGATTATGTTTATTTTCTTCTAATAGGGTTGAAAAATAAGCAGATCTAGCAGCTTTTAAAGCCTCTCTGTAAGCAATCGAGCTCTCTTTCCATGAAATCCGAAATACCTCTAGTTTAGTTTTCTTCCAGTTGCGCTCCATTTTTCTGGCTGCTCTCTTAAGGGCCTGAGTGTGCTCGTTGTACCACGGCGTTGGGCTATTTTCTTTAATCTTCTTTAAGCGCAATGGAGCAACTGCGTCTAAAGTGCTGGAAAAGAGAGAGTTTAAAAGTTTCTGTTGCAATATCGAGTTCTTCTAAACTATCTGGGATGCTGAGATGATGAAACTGCTTAGGAAGATTATTGATAAAGCAATCTTTAGTGGCAGAAGTTATAGGTCTAACGTATTTATAACACGGAGTCGGCTTTGCAGCCTTGGCTAAATGTAATTTACATAAGACTAGATAATGATCTGAGATGTCATCGCTCTGCTGCAGAATTTCAACGGCATCAATATCTATTCCATGTGATAATATTAGATCTAGAGTATGATTACGACAATGAGTCGGTCCCGACACGTGTTGTCTAACTCCAATTGAGTTTACAATATCTTTAAATGCCAATCCCAATGCATCTTTTTCATTATCTACATGTATATTAAAATCACCAACAATTAGTACTTTATCGGCTGCCAATACTAATTCTGATAGAAAGTCCGCAAATTCCTTGATAAAATCTTTATGGTACCCTGGTGGCCTGTATACAGTAGCCAGCAGAATTCTCAAATGTGATTTATCGTTTACAGTATATATTTTTACATTAAGAATCAACACTTCAAAAGAAGTATATTTAAAACTAGATTTCTTAGTGGTTTTGAAAATATTACTATAAATTACAGCAACACCTCCCCCTTTGCCTTTCAGACGAGGTTCATGTTTATAGCTGTAATCTTGTGGGGTTGACTCATTTAAAGTAATATAATCATTTGGTTTTAGCCAGGTTTCTGTCAAACACAGCACATCTAGATTATAATCTGAAATCATATCATTAACTATGAGTGATTTTGAAGTAAGGGATCGAATATTCAGCAACCCAAGCTTTATCATTTGCTCATCTGTATTATATCTGTTTTTTATTTGTTGAACATCAATTAAATTTTTAACCTGACGTTTTTTGGATTTCCAAATTCGGGGAACAGACACAGTCTCTATATGATGATATCTAGGTGAAAGAGGCTCTATGTGATGGGATTTATCTGACCTTGGTGACGTGAGGCCGCTAGCAGACGGTCGGTTTAGCCAGTCTGTCTGCTTCCTGACCTGAGCCCCAGATTGTCATGTTTTAGCTCTAAGACTATGAGCCAAATTACTAGAGAGAAGAGCAGCACCATCCCAGGAGGGATGAATACCATCTCTTTTCAACAGGTCAGGCTTGCCCCAAAAACTTTTCCAATTGTCTATGAATTCTACATTATTTTGCGGACACCACTCAGACAACCAACGATTCAGTGCGGCCAATCTACTAACTATCTCATCACTCCTGCGAACAGGAAGAGGGCCAGAGCAAATTACAGTGCCTGACATCATACTTGCGAGTTCACACACCTCTTTAATATTAATTTTGGTGATCTCCGACTGGCGGAGTCGAACATCATTAGTGCCGACATGAATAATGATCTTAGAGAATTTACGATTAGCATTAGCCAGCACTTTTAAATTTGCTTTGATGTCAGGCGCTCTGGCTCCCGGCAAACATGTGACTATGGTGGCTGGTGTCTCTATTTTCACGTTCCGTGTGATCGAATCACCAATTACCAGGGCACAATCAACAGAATTCTCAGTGGGTGTTTCACTGAGTGGGGCAAATCGATTTGTTATGGGAATCGGAACGGAAGAGTGGTTCTTTGATCCGCGACTAGAGCGGCGATCTCTCACAGTGACCCATCTGCCCTGCTGCACGGGCTCTACTTCAGCCGGAACCGAATCATGTAAAGAGTTCACTATGCTAGGCGCATCCAAAACACTATCTAAAGATCTAGCATTCTTACCATCCTCAATTAAAGTTTGGATGCGTGTCTCTAGTTCTGAAATCTTCTCCGTCAGCCTGACTGTCTCCTTGCATTTATCACATATAAATCCTATATTGCCATCGGAGAAGGCTATACTAAACATATGACATGTGACACAGGTGACAATAACAGGACAAGAAGACATTACTCACCGTGTTTGTTGACTGATTCTTACTTACCTGGACTTATGAACTCAAAGGCGCGGGCGCGCGAGAGAAAATAAATAAATAAATCGCACGGGTGGCGCGTTAACAGGCTAACGTTAGCGAGTTAGCGTGCTGTGTTAACAATAACGGAAGCTAGAGATGTAAGGTTAATCTCAGATGTTGGGTAAGCTGTATTTAGTAGTATAAACAGCTAGAAATGATAGTAAATGATAAATGATGGCTCAAAACAGAAAGAAATACGAGGCTCAGGCGGAGCTTACAACCTCGAAGCAAACAAACACACAGCAGGCAGCGAGGCAGACTCAGTCTCTGAAGAAGAGAAAAAAATAAAATATTAGTGTTTAAAACTATTCATGCAGTTTTTCAAAAACACAAAAAACAGAGTCAGTTTTTACATCTAACCTTGAATAAACAGTGCAATGGTCCAGATGAAGATGCAGATGTTGTTCATAGTTGTAGTTTAGTCTTGTGTGATGATGAAGAGTGTGTTGTGTTCTGCTCTCAGTCATGAAGTGTTAAACTCACAGCACTATAAACACTCTCAGAGCACTGAAGCATGTGCTGACAATGCAAAGTGACACTCGCTATTTAAATCATTATCCTGAAGACTGTAGATCAGTCACAAACACATTTTACAAAAACGTCCTCATGTTGCGAAATGCCAAGCTATTATACACACATTTCTGAAGAGTCTATTGACAGAATCATACAGTAGCTACATATTATTGATTCAGTCATTATTCATATTTAAATGGCACTTATTTAACAATTGACGTGGAACTATTGATTGGAAGACTGTAACGGGGTTCAGATGTTATGGGAAAGAGACGGGAACCGGCGAACAATCAACATTTTTAATCAAATAAAACAAATACAAAACAAAAGCATAAGCCAGCAGCCCCTCACGGACGACTGCTAGGAATAAAATAAAATAAAATTTGGTCAATTTTAGACACAATAGAAATAATTTAACCACTGAGGCTTCAAAGTTATATGTTAATGCCATGATCTTTTCACATATGAATTATTGCCTTACCAGTTGGACGCAGGGACTACATTACAATCAATAGAAAGACTATATAAGCAGGCTTTGAAAATATTGGATAAAAGGTCTAATTTATATCATCATGGTAAAATTTTAAATAAATATGATTTTTTAAATTGGGAAAATATGATTAAATTTGGGGATATTTTACTTGTGTATAAAATTTTGCATGGTATGGCCCCACCTCCACTTAATGAGTTTATTAGACAAAATCATAGGCCTAACCAAAGTCCTTTTAGGCAAGTCATGCCACTCGGCCGCCATCTTGGCGACGCCTCCGGGCAGCCATTTCAGACTAACAAGACCAGGCTCCTATCTAAATGAATGGGCAGAGAGGCAGAACTGCACTTTCACTGGTCACCGGGACATAAAAACTGCATGTATAGAAACAGCAGTAAAATATGATAAAAATCGCTGAAAAAGTTTGATGACAAAATAAGGTTTAAAATGCCTTTTTCCCCACAGGTTACTACGCATACACAAGGGTTCACAACACCAACTTCATTTACGTCTCTATCCAGAATGCCGGTGTTGTGCCGAGCACTTAAACATATTTGTGGTCGATATAAAATGCTTTAACTACATTGGTAGTCCGGTGCCTTCGCGTTGTTATCACCCTCTTCCATGTGGACTCCATCTGATCTTGCACACAACACAACTCGGTGTCGCCAAATCGTCTCCGCTGTCGCAAACCTCAGCTGTGCGCATGCGTCAGTGGAACCAGACGATAGGCTTAAATGTTTCCCGGCTTGAATGTTAAAAGCAGACGATTGGCTTTCCAGCGGGAGGGGCGGGACATGTGCAAACAACCGCCATCTTTGGCGTTACGGGTTTTCCCTATATAGCTGTATTGAGGATTGAGGAGCATGTCTCTATATAAATTGTCTCTGGCCTAACTCATCTACTAGAGCCACTACTAGAGGGGATTGTATACCACATAGAAGGAGTGCTTTTGGGCAGTTTTCTTATAGAGCTGTACATGACTGGAATACTATACCTACAAAATTAAGAAATATTACATATTTTACTTCTTTTTCTACATCCATTAAAAAAAAATGATTAAAAAATCGTTTTCATAATTTGGAGTAGTGCCTTGTTTTTGTCTCCTTATATTTAAAGTCATTCTGTATTTGTATTAATATGCTTTGATTATGGTTATGTTAGATGGATTTTTTTTTTTTTTATAAGTTTTATGGACTTGTGGATTTTACCATCAACCTGCCAGGGACTACTGATGAAAAATAGCCTGTATGGCTAAATCTGGCACATGATGAACTTGAGTGCTCATGTTGATTACTGTCCATTGTCTCTTTTAAAATAAATAAATTCAAATTCAAATCCAAATAAAACATCCAAGATGGCAGTGTAGGCAGTTGATTGGGACATCTGAGTTTAATTTATATGTTTTCATGTATAAGCAGAAATGTTCTTAGCAAAACTTGAATAAAATGTTTTATTTTCAATGGTTTTGTTCTGAGTTCCAGTCAATTGTTGTATGTGAATCTTAATTATTGGGACACCGTAGGAAGATATATCGCTTCCCCTTTACATGTTCATGCTCTGATGTATAGTATGCTGACGGGGAAGCAGAGGAAGTTTTGCTCTTATATTTACTTTACTGTCTCTTTGTATCATAATCACTGTATTTTTGGTGTTAGAACATTGTTAATGGTTTCTGTAATAATGTGCATCAGTGTGATTAGTGAATTATCCTATTCAGGGATGAGTCTTGTCGTCAGGGATGACGTGACCGCACAGGCTTTGGACGGGAGTCTCGGACGATTCCTCCCGGTAGTGGCGTTCTGCAGACACTGATGCACTGCAATCGCTCGCTCGACCTGTGGAACGGCGAAGTGTTGCTCCATCTAACTGTAAACGCTCAGTGCCGGATGGAGAGATCCACTTGAGCACGATGTTCACAACAGCCCGGGAAAACAGCATGAGGGGACATCTCAGCGTGAGACTCAGTCTACACAAGCACACCTGATGATGAGCCCAGGAGAGTCTTCCACATCAGGAGAAAACTCACCCTCGGATGCTGCGATTGAAGACTCATGCTCATCTCCAGCACCGAATCTGAAATGAAGTTCACCCACTTAACTGCCTGGGGAACCGCCCAACTCATCTGCAAACTCAACCAGAAGAAACAAGCGTCTTTTAGAGGAATTCTTTTTCTTTTATAGAGAAAATCTCCTACTAGATGTGACCGAGTGAGTAAGGATTCGGTATGGGGCGTGTATATTTCACGCTATAAATAGCGCGACAGCGAGTAGACGGCAAAACTTCCTGACGCTTTGACCTTTTCTGTCTCCTTCCGGTGTTGTGATCCCGAAGCGTCATAGCGAGCTGTGAGTGTGGCATTTTTATTCTAATACAAAGACGTTAGTATGTTTTTATTGATTGATTTTATGTTAAACGCAGGGCGGAAGTCCTTGATGCAAGAGTGTGAGCGTGTGGGTGATTTAACTGGGCTAGTGCCGAGCGCTGGATGCCGTGTTTAATCCATAGCCACGAATCATTCACCCAGTCTATATTTTACTCGTGGATTATGACAGGGGTATGTGTGTGTTAGATTGTCTGGTTTGGTGTTAACATTTCATGTCTAATCATTGAATTATCTAACAATTCTGTAAGTTGAAGGTGTAATGATGTTGCATGGAATTTGTGTCAGAGGTCTATTTGGATCTGTATTTTAGATATTTATGGTTTGTTTTGTGTTTATTTGGCAGATCCTCCTTTGTGGAGTCCTATGCACGTGGACCTCTGACGTCTAGGCCCTGCTGTTTTGTTTATGATTTATTTTTCGTTATAATAACCTTAAAGTTTTGGTTATATATTGATTTTCTGGTTTTGTTTCATTTGTGGTTTCTTATTTTTGTGTACTGATTATATTATTTGAGTTTGGGTTAGACCAACCGCTGTGTTTGGGTATGATATGTACAGTGGAGTGTTAATTTATATTCCTTTGTGTCCTAGGAGCCAGCCTGTGTGGGAGTCCTTCCTCTGGGGTCGTTTGGGCCTTTCCTTCACTGCAGCTGGTGTGAGATTTCCTGCACTGCATGCGTATTGATTTGGGAGTGTAGAGTGGTTTGTATTATGCACTGGATTTGCTTTAGAAGTGATTTTATCCTCTTGAGAATCGTACAGGTGTGGTGTGTGCTCTTAGGGTGGCGGGTCCGTGGCCAATGACTCTTCTCTATTTTCACACAGGCTTGGTCACTCCTATGGTAAGACTAGTGAATTGTGACATTTAATAATCAACCTAATGTCTAGGTTGATTAAGTTTTATTGCTCCTTTTATAATAAACACAACTAAAAGTGATTATTTATTCAGAGTTTTATAACTCATTGCCAATAAAAGTTATTGAACTTGAAGGTCACGTCTTCGTTCTTTTACCAATTGACCGTTCGCAAAGACCCGCCCCCCTTAGTTACTGTCACTATGTCCGACAAGCTACGCTGCTCTCACACACACACACACCATGTTCTCACGCAGTGAAAAATACATCGTGGACTGACAACATGCTGACAGACAGGGGAGACCAGGTTACTTTTTGGTTACTTTTGATATTAAACATATTAAACAAAGTCTCACCTTTCAAAGTTGGTCTTTTTTTTTAAAGAAATTTAAACATAAATACTGTTTTGTGGCTCTTTAATGTGTCGTGACAGATCGCTGTAGAGCACCAGTTAAAGCTGCTCGTGATCCGATCATCTCTTCCTTCTAGTTCATTTATAGCATCAAATAAACATGAATGAATGTGGCGAGTGGGACTTTGTTTTACCGGCAACGCCACCCGGGGAATTTCGCCCCGAGAATAGGATTTGGCTAATTAAATGTTAAACTACCCAAAATAGAGAAAGCACACAGGTTTAATTTATGCAAGAAGCCAGAGACGTAGTTCCATTCAAAAACAATAATTTTATTTATACAAATACTAAAACCATCAAATATAGATATGCATACTAATAAAAAGGGGGGGAGAGAATACTGAGGCCTTACCAGTAGGGGGACAGAGTTAAGGGGTGTGGGATCTCAAAAGAAAGGATCCCCGATCACACGTGAACACTCACACCCACACAGTGATAACTCCAAAATAAACAAGGGAAAAACACAGCACCCAAAGGAGACGCCACCCCCAGAGACACTGACACCGCCACCTTCAGCACTCAGCACTATGAAAGAAAGGACATTCAATTATTGGGAAAAATGAATCAATAAACCAAAATAAATAAAAATAACTTCAATCTAAGCAAATCTAGGCAGCAAGTGTGACTTAATAGCTGCCTAGAGTTAAACAAAAGGTAACCAAAAGAACTTTGACAACTCGGGGTTCAGAGATATAGAAACCTCTCAGATCAAAGCAATATAAAGCCAAAACGGAATCCCTTTAATCATGAATTAACAAATAAACATAAAAAATAATCAAAATTGACAATTATAAAGTTTCAAAGAAAACGTCTCGGTTACGGATGTAA